CGGCCTATTTAGGTATATCATTAAGCCCCCCAACTCTCGATTTGAGACGGGGACGTGTGTAGAGTGATCCGGGTCGTGTCGAGAGTTAATTGCGGTGTTGATTGAATTGTTTTCGTTGCCGGTGAATTAATTCTTTAATTTAAATAAGGGATTATTGTATTTATTTGGCAGCCAGGTATATATTTAAGGGTTTTAAATAATATACCAGGGCCAGATAAATAGACTCCTTTTGCGGTGGAAAGAATTAAACTTCAACTCTTATGGAATAAATATGGGTATGTGTCTTTAACTCTAGGTCTTCCTCTGTGCTATTTTTCTCTTGAAAATTTTTTATTTTTGCGGTAGAGTAGAAATTTTTTGTTTCTTGATAATTTCTTCGGGGAAATTTTTTCTCATGTCGAATTCGGGTAATTCGAAATCTTTGCGGATTAAACTTCGAGATCCGGTTGAAGGGAGCAAGAAGACCTTTGGCACAGTGGGTATGGAACGCGATAAACTTGTATTATCGGATGTAGAATTTGGGTCTGCAGTAGGAAATTCCCGAGCTGAAAATAAAAGGGGAGCTGGTGTTACAGCTGTTGGCTCGAGCCAAGAAGCCGGCCGGTCCCATGTGAGAGAGGGCGCGCGCTTCGAGGCTGCTATGGAGCCTAGTGAAGCCGCGGAGCCGGCGGCTTGCACCCGGACCGAGGAGGAGAGAGGGATGGATTGCAGACCACGTGGGCCAGCAGCTGAGGTGGGAAGCGCGTCGGGCACGCCACCCGATAGACGCACGCGCGCGTCGGTGGAGGAGAGAGAAAGAGGCGCGCGCGCGTCGGTTGGCGAGTTGGGTGGACGCGCGCGCGCTATTGGTCCAGGTGGCGTTGGCGGGCACGTGATTGGGCGGGTTTTGCATAGACGCGCGCGCGCGTCTGGTGGGTTTGGTGAAGCGGACGCGCGCGCGGGGGCCAGTGGGGGGGGTGCACGTGTCGCTGGGCAGGTGTGTGACGCGCGCGCGCGTGTATCTGACCCTTTTGGGGCTACGCGCGCGCGTGGGGGCGCGTTAGAGCCCGGTTTTGAACCCGGTTTGTCCGAAATTGACGGGCAAATTTCCGAGGGTACTGATTCACTTGGTGTTTTAAACGGGGGAAGTTTTGGTCGGCGAGAAATTATTGAATCGTGGAGTGACGATGTAGAAGTGCGTAACAATATTAATATTTGCCCTACTGTTGATGAAGCGGATTCCAGTAGACGTCGCTATGGGCATCGAGTCGTAGATTTTGGGAGCGATAGTGATGATTCGAATGAAGCTCCTTTGGCGAGTGAACATCCGGTGTCAAGTAGTGAAGTTGAGCCGACGGATGACGAGGGGGAGGAAGATGATATTCCGCCAGGTGATGTTGAGGTTGATAAGAGGAAGCAAAAGAAAATTAAGCCAATTAATTTGGACTTAGTTGATTTTGATAGTGTGTTGACGGAAGAGCATCTGCACTCTATTCGTCGTTTATCTGGAGCGCCAAGTAACGTTGAGTTGTTGTTGCCTCAGAATGGTGACCGTTTGTATTCGCCACCTGATGGATTTCATACGGTGTTTTTAGGTTACTTGACGTGTACATCTCAGATTACACCGCATCCGACCTTGTTGAAGGTCTGCGAGGAATTCAAGATTGGGTATAGTCAGCTAACGCCCAGTGCTGTTTTGATTTTCCAGGCGTTTCATTTTAGGGTGGCTCGAGTAGGTCTGCCTGTGTCTGTGAGTTTATTTAAGGCGTTATTTACGTTACATCGGCCCAATCAGATGCCTTTCTTTTGCTTTCATCCTCGCGTTCATTACCAATTCGTGAAGAGTGTGAAGCTATCTTTGGGGAAATGGAAGACCTATTTTGTTTACGTGAGGGCTCCCACTTTTGATGTTCCCGTAGTTTGGAATCCTACGTGTGAGAGTTTTGCAATGACTGCAAATATGGCGAAGAGGATTGAGGAATCTGGGTTGTGTGATGTGGAATTTGATCCGAGGAGTTTGATACCGACGGTGAAGGGTCAGCATCGTATATCCTTTTGTTGCCTTGACTTGTGTTCCTCTTCTTTGTTGTTTGTTTTTTTTTTTTTTTTTTTTTTTTTTTTTTTTTTGTGTGGTGTATATCCCCTGTTTCTTATGTGTTCGTTATCTCTTGTAGATGGGGGTATCACCTTTGCGGCGCTTCAAGCTAAGGCGAATGGGTCGTCGAAGAAGGCATCGAAGAAGGCATCGAAGAAGGTACCCTCTACCTTGGGAGGTTCTTCAAATGGTTTGCCTCGTGGGGAGGTCCATGTAGAAGCTGCTCGAGTAGTCGCAGATGATCGTAGCCGTGCTGGTGAAATGGAGGGGCGTCCACCGACGAGGGATCGTGGCAAGGGAAAGAGGGTGGATACCGAGTATGTGGCTGTGCCTAAGCGTCCACGGGTAGACCCAGAGGAGACTTATGCTTTCCATGGTGGAGGAGGGAAACAGCTGTTTACTTATGGAGTAAACCGCGATGGTAAGGAGTCGTACTGGGATGTGTCGGACTATGATTTGCCGATGTTGAGTACCGAGGGTTTCGTTCGAGAGTATGATCGTGCTCGGATGTCTGGTAAGGGTCCTTCTCATATGCTAGAGTTAGCTGGTGGAGACATATGTCGGGTGAGTACTTGCCTATTTAAAACGAGGCTAGATGTTATTCCCTCTCTTCCTTGTGTAATTTTTTTTTTTTTTTTTTTGGTAGCGACTTGGAGATATCTCGTGGAGCACGGTAGGAATGTGGAAGCTAGTAAGGAAGAGGATCGGGCTCGAAGTCAAGCGCGTGAGGATGAGCTTCTAAGCCAGTTGGAGGAAGCGCGGTCCGATCTCACTCTACGCTCTGAAGAGCTTGCTCGGAGGACAGAGGAGCTTGCTGAGAGGACCGAGGAGCTCGAGGTTATCCGGGGTGATGCGAAGGCGTATAAGGATGATGTTCATAAGTTGAACGAGTGCTACGATCAGCTGAAAGAGAAATATGAAGCTGAGAAGGCGACGGGGAAGAGGTTCCTCACGACATCAGGTGGTGTGGCTTATAAGGAGTCTATTGTGGAGGAGACTAAAGCTAGTTTCCGAGGTAGTGATGAGTGTGCTGCTATGATTGAGGAGCATGCGTTGGCTGTGGTTTATAAGCCATTAGTGCGTGCTTGTCGCAAATATCTGCGCGATGCGGGTGGGATCAGCGAGGAAGTGATTCGTGGGATGGAAGCTGGCATATCCGATGAAGAGGAGGAAGAGGTAGATGTCAATGGGACGGGCACAGAGCTCGTCAATGACATGGTTGCGGGTGACTCTACTGCGGGTACGTCTTCCGCTCGCGGTAGGGGAGCTTAGACTTATCTGTTAGGATAGCTAACTTTTTTATTGCTATTATTTTTTTTATGGATTTCGTATTTTATTTTTATCGCTGATGTAGTTGGGTATGTCCACTACTATTTTATTTTAATTTCTTCCTCGTTTGACTTTGAAGTATAAGATTTCGATTTATTTATTTTGACATTGTCAAGAATTAATGCGTTGCTTCTATGTGTTTACATTAGCATTATACGCGATGTACTTGAGGAGGGGATCAGTCTCCCAAGGTTTTTGTTAGGGGTCGTGCCCTTTGTTTTTGACCACTTGGGTCTATAATATTTTTGTCCGTGGCCACGTTTTAAAAGTAGCACCTCGTGAAACAGTTAAAGGGACTTAGCTAATCCAGCTGGCCAGGCTATACGGATTATCCAAATCACTCTAAGTGTTTGTAGGGTGGTATTGATTTGAACTCATGGTAAGAGGTTATTTGTATAGACGTAAAGGCGTAGATAGTAAAGCGAAAAATATATATTCAACGATAGCATAGGAGAATTGTTACATGCCTATGTGAGGCGAATGTAAGTAAATGACTAATGCGATGGGCCTACGTGAGGCAAAGGTAAATAACTACTGGTGGAGCGAGAAAGAAAAAAAAATTGACTTGATAAAAATTGTTCTAAGTGATTGTACTACACTTGTTCTTCTTCTTCCACGTCTTGCTTGTACTCGTTCGTTTTGCTGCGTTGATGGTAAAATGAATTCCTTTGGCGTTTCTATGCCTGTCAAATATAATTGAGAAAAAAGAATTTTGTCTAAGCATTTGTATTGAAGACTTAGTAATTGAAGCTGAGGGGATGCGTATTGCGCTTTCACGTACCCTACTACGGATTTGATTTTTCTTTCTCGCACTCCAAGACATGAAATGAAGTCGTGAGTTGTCGCGAGTTGCTATGCGATCGTGCCTGCTAGTGGGATTATTTTGTCACGTTAGTAATCGTAAATGAGATTATCTGTGTGTTGAGTTCTAGTAGAAGTATAGTTACCCTTGACGATGTGGTATGGAGTGTCTTCGAGCAAGCAGCGCATTGATTGCTTAATATACATCCTCACGTAGTAGGTTCTCGACCTGTAAGGAGACGATGGGATGTGATTATGAATTTCTGATGTAAGTAGCAATTACTAGCCCCCCAGCTTAGGAGGGACATTAACGCACCTTGTTATGTGGTGCGGAATTTCCAACCATGTCTAAGCAGCTTTACAAGACGAGTGACGTGGAAGGTTGTGGAGCCTGCATGGGTGAAAATTTGTAAGTAATTTTTCTTTAGTAGAGATATGGGTGATGATCTCAAATGATCAGAAGTAAGGTAGATGTATACCTTAGGCGTAGAACCGTTTGAGGTTCCCTATATTCCATGTTCTGGGTATAGGGTGTCCGTCAATGTTCTCGAGGCGATATGCTCCAGTGTTGACCACCTTTGTGATTTTATACGGTCCTTCCCACTTTGGGTCGAGCTTTCCGATGGGGTGGGAGGCTTCAGCTTTTCGGAGGACTAAATCTCCGACTTGAAAGGAGCGAGGGCGGACCTTTGAGTTATATGCCTTGGCCATGCGTGATTTATACATCTGTTGTCGGATGTATGCGATCTCACGTAACTCATCTATGAGGTCTAGGCTTCCCCGCATAGCCTTTTCATTAGCTGTTGGGTCATAGTTGGTGACTCGCCAAGATGGTTCTCCGATTTCGACGGGTGCGATAGCCTCCGTGCCAAAAGCTAGATTGAAAGGCGACTCTCCGGTTGCTGCGCGTGTGGTTGTGCGATAGGCCCATAGGGCGTTAGGCAATTCTTCCACCCATTTTCCTTTGGCACTTCCCAGCCTTGTCTTAAGGTGTTGGAGGATAGTGCGATTTGTAACCTCCGTCTGGCCGTTAGCTTGTGGATTTGCTACCGATGTGAAGAACTGCTTGATGTTCAAGCCGAGGCACCAATTTTTTACCTTGTCCCCGCAAAATTGAGTTCCATTATCCGAGATGATGGAACGCGGGATTCCGAAGCGGCACACGATGTTCTTCCATAGAAATTGGATGACTTCTTCTTCTCGGATGCGTGCCAAGGGTTCAGCCTCCACCCATTTGGTGAAGTAGTCCACTGCTACAATGAGGTATTTGCGTCCTCCTGTGGCGGGCGGGAATGGTCCAACCAAATCCATCCCCCATTGGGCGAAAGGG